AAAAAGAAGAGGAGAAAGAGAATAGATAAGAAAAAAGGTAATAAGAAATTGTGAATGAAGAGGGGAGGGAGTGGGGGAAAGAGGAGGAGGAGGGGAAGAGTAAAGATGGTTGAGAAAAATTAAGGGAAAGGGAAAGAGAGGGGGAAAAAAACGAAATGAAAATAAGGTGAGAGTGGGATTGGGTTGTAGGGGGAAATAATGAGGTAAAAGTTAAATAGTAAATTGGTGTGGGAATAAAAAGTGGGAGGAGTCACGAGCAGAAAAAAAAAGAAGGGGAGGGGGAAGAGTGACGAAGCGACGGAATAAACGAATAATGGAGGGGGAAAAATGAGAGTGAGTGAAATATGAAGAAGTGGAATGAGAATGGCGTGTAATTAACCGAAAAACAACAACAACAATAATAATAATAATTCTTTGAAAATTTTTTTATTTTTTGTCGTTCGTTCGCCTTTTTTTTTTTTCCTATTTACACGACGGTTTTTTAAAAAATGAAATTTTTTTTTTTTTTGTTATAAAAAATTAAAATAAGAAACGATAAATGAAAAAAAAAAAAAGTTTTCAGATTATTATTATTATTATTATTATTAAGAAAACGAGGGTATTATTCATGAGAAAATTTTAATTTACATATTTTATAAAAAAAATTCTGCTGGAGAATTAAAGTTTTCCAGCCAAAATACTCTCTCTCTCTCTCAAAAAGTTTATAATTTAGTTAAAGAAAATGAAAAGGAACAAAAAAAAAAAAAAAAGAAAATTCTTCCAGAATTCGTTTTTAAAAAATTTTATTTTTTTTTTTTGTTCCTTTAAAATCGAAGAAAAGTCCACCCGAAAAAAGGAAAAAAGAAAAGAAATATTTTTGGGTGGAAAAAAAGGGAATTCCCCTTTCCTTTAACCCCCTCCCCCCAAATAAAAAAAAAAATTTCACAAGTCATTTAATTTCAACGGGAATAAAAAAAAAAAAAAAATTTTATTGAATGAAAAATTGAAAAAGGAAAAATGAAAAAAAAAAAAAAAGGTT